CTCAACCTTCCGAGTAGCCGGAATTACAGGCGTGCGCTACCACGCCCGGCTGATTTTTTGATTTATTGTAGAGATGAGGTCTCGCCAAGTTGCCCAGGCGGTTCTCGAACCCGCGGGTTCAGGCAATCCACTCACCTCAGCCTCCCAAAGAGAAGGATTACATGCTGAGCCCAGTGTTTGTTTTGTTTTGAGTCTTACTCCTTTGCCCAGGGCTGGAGTGCAGTGGCATGCCCACAGCCGTTTACAGCCTCAATCTGCTGGGCCCAGGTGATCCTTTAGCCTCAAGAATTACAAGCATGCGCCACCACACCTGGCTAATTTTTTTTTAATTTATTGCAGAGATGAGGTCTCACCATATTGAACTGGCTGGTCTCGACTTTGGGCTCAGGCAGTCCTCTCACCTCCACTTCCCAAAGTGCTAGGATTGCAGGCATGAGCCACCATACCCAACTTGTTTTAGTTTTCCAGATGAGAATTCACTTTGTTGCCTGGGGTGAATTCAAAGTCCTGGGCTCAAGCAGTCTTCCCACCTCAACCTCCAGAGTAGCTGGAATATAGGCGCATGCCACAATGTCTAGCTTTTCCCATTTAAATTGGATTTAGTGCTTAGTTGTAAGAATACCTTACGTGGATACTAGTCTGTTTTAAGACATACGATTTGAAAGTACTTCCTCTCATTTCATGAGTTATCTTTTCACTTTCTTGATAATGTCCTTTGAAGCACATATGTAGCCCAATTTGTCTATTTTTTCTTTTGTTGTTTGTGCTTTTGATGTCATATCTGAGAAGCCATTGCCTGTTAACACCTGTTTTATTCCAAGAGTTTTATACCTTTAGCTCTTTCATTTATCTTTGGTGCATTTTTATTTTTTCCTTTTTTTTTTTTTTTTTTGAGTCCAAGTCTCACTCTGCCACCCAGGCTGGAGTGCAGTGGCACAATCAGTTACTGCAGCCTCAACTTGCTGGGCTCAGGCACTCCTTTCACCTCAGCCTTCCAGTAGCTGGGACTACAGGCACATGCTAACATGGCCCGGCTAATTATTTAGTTATTTATTGTGTAGTGGAGATCTTACCATGTTGCCCAGGCTGGTCTCGAATCACTGGGCTTGAGCAATCTTCCCTCCTTGGCCTCCCCAAGTGCTTGGATTAAAAACATGAGCCGCTGCACCTGGCCCACTAATTTTTGTACAAGGTGTGAGGTCGGGTCCAACTTCATCCTTTTGACATGGAAATTAAACTGTTCTAGTACCACTTGTTGAAAACTGTCCTTTACCCTTTGAATAGTCTTGGTGCCTTTAGCAAAAGTCAGTTTACCATAAATGTATAGGTTTGTGTTGGACTCTTCATCCTGTTCCAGTGTCCTCTCTGTGTATCCTTAGTCCACTGCCAAACAGTATTACTGTAGCTTCCAAGTAGTTTTGAAATGGGGAGGTGTGAATCCTCAATTTTTTCCCCCCTAAGATTGTTTTGGCTGTTCTGGTTTCTTTGCATTTCCATATAAATTTTAAGATCAGTTTTTCAATTTCTACTAAAAAAGCCATATTGATAAGGAATTTTTAAAACTTTGTATTGTGAGATATAATACATATTTTTACATATAATACATAAAACAAATGTGCAGTTTGACATGTAATTATGAAGCAGTTGCCCATGAAAACTTCATCCAGGTCAAGTTTAACAAGAGCCGGCATTGTGGTCCACACCTGTAATCCCAACTACTCACTTCAGGAACTCAAGGCCAGCCTCAGCAACATAGATCCCTGTTTTGTTTTGTTTTGTTTTGTTTTTTTAAAGATATGGGGTACAATTCAGGGTTAGATATACAAATTTTGATTATGTAGGTACCCTTGTTGGTGAATCCCCATCTCTTAAAAAAAAAAAAAAATTGTTTAGGCTAGGCTCGGTGGCTCAGCCTGTAATCCCAGCACTTTGGGAGGCCAAGATGAGTGGATTGCCTGAGCCCGTGGATTCAAGACCCGTATGGGCAACTTGGCGAGACCTCATCTCTACAATAAATTTAAAAATCAGCTGGGCATGGTAGTGCGTGCCTATAGTTCCGGCTACTTGGAAGGCTGAGGTGGAAGGATTGCCAGAGCCCAGCAGGTAGATGCTGGGGTGGCCGTGAGTGTGCTACTGCTCTCCAGCATGGGTAACAGAGTGAGACTCCAACTTGGGAAAAAAAAAAAAAAGTAGAACAAAGCTAGTCCCCAGAAGCTTCCTTTGCCCAGTCACAACCCACAACCCTGCCAGGGAAAAACTGTTGATTTTTGTGGTGACCATATTCTTCCTTCTCTTTATAGTTTTTATCACCTATGTATGTATCCCTAAACAATATCTTTAGTTTTGGTACTTTTTAAACTTTGTATAGTACTAACAGTGTATGTTTTGTCTTGTTCTTTTCTTTTTTTTTTTTTAGAGAGAATTTTTTTTTTTTTTTTTGAGTTGGAGTCTCACTCTGTCGCCCAGGCTGGAGTGCAGTGGCCGCTCCTGACCACCACAGCCTCGACCTGCTGGGCTCCGGCGATCCTTCCACCTCAGCCTTCCAAGTAGCTGGAACTACAGGCATGCGCTACCACGCCTGGCTAATTTTTGATTTATTGTAGAGATGAGGTCTCGCCAAGTTGCCCAGGTGGGTCTTGAACCTGCGGGCTTAGGCAATCCACTCACCTCGGCCTCCGAAAGGCACAGGATTACAGGCTGAGCCACCGAGCCCGACGCTTGTCTTGTTCTTTTCATTCAACACTCACTCAGCACTGTGTGTGATTCATCCGAGTTGTGTGTAACTGAAGTTCATTTTCAATACAATGTGATAATTTTTATTTTTTTAATTTTATATATTTATTTGTTTGTTTTTAATCAGGTCTCACTTTGTCTCCCAGGCTGGAGTGCAATGACACAATCACGGCTCACCACAACCTCTTGGGCTCAGGAGATCCTATTGCCTCAGCCTCTTGAGTAGCTGGGACTACAGGCATGTGCCACTATGCCCAGCTAATTTTTTTAATTTCGATAGGTCATGCCTATAATCCTAGCACTTTGGCAGGCCAAGGTGAGAGGATTGCCTGGGCTCACAGGTTTGAGCCCAGCCTGGGCAATATGGCGAGACCTCATCTCTACAATAAAAATCAAAAAATTTGCTGGGCATGGTGGCATGTGCCTGTAATTTCAGCTACTTGGAAGGCTGAGGTGGAAGGATCACCTGAATCCAGCAGGTCGAGGCTGTGGTGGCTGAGCAGTATGCCACTGCACTCCAGCCTGGTCTATAGAGTGAGACTCTGACTCAATTTAAAAAAAAAAATTCAGTAGCTTTAGGGGGTACCAGTAGTTTTCAGTTACATGATTGCATTGTTCAATGGCAAAGAAGTCTGGGCGTTAAGTGTACCCACCACTGTCACCTGTGCTCATTCTACACAATGGGTGATTTTTCATCCTTCACCCCTTTTCCCTCCCCATCCTGAGTCTCCAATGTCCATTATACTATTCTCTATGCCTTTGCAATTCCTTAGTTTAGCTCTCACTTATAAGTGAGAGCATGTAGTGTTCTTCTGTTCCTGCATCAGTTTAGTTAGGATGATGTTCTCCAATTCCACCCAAGTTGCTGCAAAGACATTGTTTTGTTTTTGATGGCTGAATAGTATTCCATAGTGTATATATATCACATATTCATTATCCACTGATTAGTAGATGGGCATTTGATTCCACATCTTTGCAAATGTGAATTGTTCTGTGATAAACATGCCAGTACAGATGTCATTTAAAAATTTTTTTTTTTTTGAGTTGGAGTCTCACTCTGTTGCCCAGACTGGGGTGCAGTGGCACGCTCCCAGGCACCGCAGCCTTGACCTGCTGGGCTCCTGCGATCCTTCCGCCTCAGCCTTCCAAGTAGCTGGAACTACAAGCAGGCACTACCACGCCCGGCTAATTTTTTGATTTATTGTAGAGATGAGGTCTCACCAAGTTGCCCAGGCGGGTCTCGAACCCGCGGGTTCAGGCAATCCACTCACCTCGGCCTCCCAAAGTGCGGGATTACAGGCTGAGTTACTGAGCCCGTCCAAGCCTGGCTTTTTTAATTTTTATATTGACCTCCCAACTAATTTTTTGTTGAGATGAGGTCTTGCTATGTTGCCTAGGTAGGTCTCAAACTCCTGGCTCAAGCAATCCTCTTCACCTCGGCCTCCCAAAATGCTGAGATTATGGGATTACAGGCATGAGCCACCACACCAGGTCATTGTGACCTTTTCTTTTCTTCCTTTTTTTAAATCGAAGTCTCACTCTGTCCCACAGACTAGAGTACAGTGGCATGCTCACAGCCACCACAGCCACTGCAGCCCGATCTACTGGGCTCAGGTGATCCTTTGCCTCAGACTTCCAGTTAGCTGGAACTACAGGCACACACTACCATGCCCGGCTAATTTTTTTATTTACTGTAGAGATGAGTTCTTACCATGTTGCCCGGGGCTGGTCTGGAACCCATGAGCTCAGACAATTCTCTCACCTCAGTCTCCCAAAGTGTTGGGATTATAGGCATGAGCTACCACACCTGGCCTTCCAATACTGATACATTTCATAATGATTTCTGAAGAACAAGTTACTTTTACGTAAAAAGGTTAAAAAAAAACACCTGAGAGGCGACTAGTTGCTCAGAACACAACCCTTAAAAAAAAAAAAAAAGTTAAAAGTAGGACTTGCTTCTCAGCATCTATATTTGACCATAGTTCTTTCATTAGACATTTGTTGTCAGTTATTGAGATGGTGTTTTGGATTTAACTTTGATTGGAGTTCCCAAACCCAAATTTGTAATGAGGGCCAGACCAAAAAATCCAGTGTACATGATGGCTAGGGACACAGCTGTAGCTTTCAGCAAATGTCATCCTCCCGAGCACTCTGAAAGGCAGTGTCATCAGTCCCTAAAAGAGGAAACTGAGAAAATAGAGAGCTTAATCACGTCCCTTGCCACTGTCCCCTTAGCCTTCCCTGACCTAGTCTTGCTTTTTTTCCAGATCCCATGCCACAGCTGGACGTGACTGAGGCCAACAAGGAATTCATGGAGCAGAGTGAGGAGCTGTATGATGCTCTGATGGACTGTCACTGGCAGCCCCTGGACACAGTGTCTTCAGAGATCCCGGCCATGATGTAGCCAGGACAAAGAACAAACCAGAATGGACTGTGAGGGAGATGACTCCTTTTTAAAAAAATATTTGATACTTTTGGAAATATGATTTGTAAGACTTTAATACTGTTCTAGAAATTGAGTGTTGCCTTCATTTAATAGTGATCCACTTGAGTCTTAAAACCAATGGACCAGCCAGGCTCTGTGGCTCAGCCTGTAATCCCAGCGCTTTGGGAGGCTGAGGTGAGTGGATTGCCTGAGCCCATGGGTTCAAGACCCACCTGGGCAACCTGGTGAGACCTCATCTCTACAATAAATCAAAAATTAGCTGGGCATGGTAGCACGCACCTATAGTTCCTGTTACTTGGAAGGCTGAGGTGGAAGGATCGCAGGAGCCCAGCAGGTCGAGGCTACGGTGGCTGGGAGTGGCCACCGTACTCCAGTCTGGGTGACAGACTCCATCTCAAAAAATAAAAATTAAAAAAAACCAATGGACCACTGGGCACAGTGGCTCAATCCTGTAATCCCAACACTTTGGGAGGCTGAGGCAAGTGAATTGCCTGAGTTCAGGGGTTCAGTACCAGCCTGGACAATTTGGTGACACTTTGTCTCTACAATAAATCAAGAAATTAGCTGGGTGTGGCAGCACATGCCTATAGTTCCAGCTACTTGGAAGGCTGAGACAGAAGGATCGCCTGAGCCCAGCAGGTCGAGGCTGTGGTGGCCGTGAGCATGCCTCCGCACACCAGCCTGGGCCAGAGTTCAACTCAAGGAAAAAAAACCAATGCATCAACTCTGGAACACTGTTCAAACTATCTCTTCACAAGAACTACCTCCCCCAACAGTGACTCTAAACCCTGGGTACATTTAGATGGCTTTCTCAGTTGAAAGTATTTCCAGAGCACCTGCTCTGTGTGGTTATTTTAGGGTTACCCCAGCCCATCCCTGACTCTCTCCAAACCTGACAGCCAGATAGGAAAAGCATCCCCATGAGGGCAGGAGCATGGCTACTTAAGCATATGGATGGAGCAAGCCAAACCTGGAACAGCGCTCAAAGCTTGGCACACACTCCAAGAATGTTTTCAAAGGCCTACAGTACCTACAAAGCCTAAACTGTTTTAGGAATAAGCCTACAGAAGGGCACTAGTGTGCCAAGCCTCCCAGCCACAGCAGTTCCCCCTTTTTTTCAGGCAGGGTTGTCCCCCCCAGTGCAGTACAGTAGCACCCATCATGGCTCACTGACTCCTGGGCTCAGGTAACCCTTCTTCCTTAGCATCCAGAATAGCTGGGATTATGAGTGCAAGCCACCATGCTCCAGTCTTTTTTTTTTTTTTTTGGTAGAAGTGAGATCTCGCTGTTGCCCTTGCTGGTTTTCAACACCTAGCCTGGAGTAGTCTTCCCATCTCAGCCTCCCAAAGTGCTTGTATTATAGGCATATTTCTATGATAGGACTGAATTTTCAGCTTGCATCTAGGGGGCAGTAAACAGGGACTAACTAATAATTTGAGAGAGGCAAGAGTTCTAGAGTCTTTTATTTGTCACCTATGGTCCAGTATCATGCAGCATCAGCAAAAACCAAATGACTCTGCTGAAGAACTACTGCCTCAAGTTTCCACCTAAAACAGCCTGTTGTCTTACGGGTCTCTTCTCAGAGATTCTCCTGAAAAAGAAGTGAGCACCATTGTTAGTGCAATCCTGATTCATCCCCACCCAGGCACTTTCCTAGGAGCCGGTCTCAGTCCCATATCCGCATTTCTCATCCATAGATGTCCACTCAGATTAGGTTTCATCCTGGACCAGTTATCCTAAACACCCTGAGCTAGATGAGCTACTGTTTCATCTCCCATTCCCCCGTGGTTGGGGCAGGGAGGGAAGCCAAGAATGCATCCTGAGTTCCAGGCACTACAGAACCCTTGCAGCCCAAGGTGAAGCTGTTCCCTCTGCTACATTCTACTTCCAGTAGTAGTATGTGGTCATGGTCTTCAGAGAGGACAAATCTAACAGACCAAGCCATGTTGCATTTGTTTCTTTGTCCTTTGATGAACAGCTGACAAATAGAGCACAAGGAAGACAGGTGTTAACTAATCTATTAAAAAGCAAAGGCTTTTACAGACATGAGTAACCTTACATTCTATTTGCTCCACTACTCAGGACAGGGTTCATGACAGTTCAACACTATCAGGCTACAAGGAAGTGGTGACAAAGCATCAAGTAGTCATTAACTCACCCAACCCTGTAGAGCCACAGTCACGGATGAGGATGCCTCTTCCGGTAGCTTAGACCTAAATTTAAAAAGGGACATTCTCAATCAAGAGGCAAGAAAGCTCCGCTAGATTGCTCCCCACATGGCCAGTATGCTGGCCAGCCATCACCACAGCAACTTCCAGAGCACCACACACTCCCTTTAGCCCAAGGTTACCCTCCACCTCCCAGGGAAAGAAGTAATTTCAAGGTGACCCCACTTGAACCTGTTAGAAACCAGCCCACATGCTGTACTACCAGGCTACAACACTGTGAGGCCAGCTTCAGTATTCCTCTTCCTCCTTTTACGACCACCAAGACCAGTGTTCAGATCCGATGGGAAAGGGAACTGGAGGGTCAAGCCACCTTCAACATCAACTTTACCTTAAAGTAAAGCTCTAGAAACAAGTCGTCTCCTCATTATCGGACACTGCCAGGAAATCTGGGGGCAACCTGGGAAACAAAAGCATAGTTAGAAAACACCCAGGCTCAGCCAGAGGCCTCCAGCCCAGTCCAGAGACACTGTAGGAAAGGCGAGTGGCAGCTGCAGGTATTATGCTGACCTGCGCTGTCAAAGTCTCTCCAGGTTGTTCTGGCATGCAGTTGGAGATCCCATGGCCACAACCAGCCACAGCCCTTGGAAACATGCTGTACTGTCCCCCCAGGCTTCCAAAATGTCTCTAAAATAAACCTACCAGGTCCTGATGTTGTGTTTTATCACTGTCGTGACTCCTGGAGTTCGCATCAGAAAAATCAACTTGTGTCACTTCGAATCTTCATTTGGCACAGCTAAAATAAGAACACAATTGTCCTGAATGATTTCAGAATCTTAAACGTCTCAGACTTTTGTCCTGATACTGATGCTTTAAGCTTTTCAAGGAAGTGGCCCAAACTTTGCTATGATTTTTCACATGCCACTCGAGTTTCCTAGTGCACATGTTCAACCCACTCCCAACTTCCTCTTCATACTGGTTTTTGGCCTCAGCAAGCGCCTTCTCAAAAACCTTACTCTGGGCATGGTGGCTCACACCTGTAATCCCAGCATTTTGGAAGGGCATGCTGGAAGGACTGCTTGAGTCCAAGAATTTGAGACCAGCCTGGCCAACATAGCAAGACTTCATTTCTTTAAAAAAAAAAACTCTTTATGCTAGACCCTAATCTTTCTGCTGATCGGTGGAAACATGCCATTTTTCCCAAAGGTTTCTGGCTATACCTGAAAAATGACAGGTAGAACGGAACTGTATTTTCCCAAAATGTTGCAGATCAGTTACAGCAAACAGAACGGCGACCGTCAAGGAAAACCGTCACTCTGGGCTCCTTTTTGACCACAGCAGCTATGTGGAAGCAGCTGCAGCTTCGATAGGAGCCCGGGGGCAACTTAGTCTAGGTCACGAGACAGTCACAAACCCAAGACTGCTGCTCAGCCTGGGACACACCTAAATCCCGTGCATTACTGCCTCTCGGAATGCATCTACCCAGCCTTTCTGGAGACCAGAAAAACCAACAGCCAGCCTGGAGGCCCCTCCGACCCCTATAACTTACGGTGCCAGACGCTGGTGTGCTCCTTCTCGCTTTATCTTCCCAGGATCATTTTACTCCCATTTCACAGATGAGAGGTTTGGACCAAGTAAGCCACCGGCCGAAGATGGCCCATCAAGACAGCAACAGAGCTGCGATGCAAAAAAGGCCTGAGTGACTGAAACCCGTCTTCTGATATCCAGAACACTCGCACGATGGCACCTAACTGGTAGCTGTCACAGGCCGACCACGCCAGAGGTCATTCTGACACCAGCCCAACCCCAACTAAGGCACTCGAAGCCTAGGGCTTCATCCTCGAACGCCCCAGGTGCTGGGTACCAAGCCCCCCAAATACGCCGCCGCCCGCCTTAACTCCCCGGTCAGACCACAAGCGCGGGGCTGCGCGGGCCGGGGCAGGAGAAGGGCGCGCCCTGTCACTGCGCGTGCGGCCGTCTTGGCCTCCTGGGCTTCGACCCCACCAGGCGGGGAGGCCCGGCGCTTCCGAGCCGCGACCGACATCCCGAGGCCCTGGGAGGCAGCCCCGGCGAGGGTGGGCCGGTGGCGGCGGGACTGAGGGTGGATGGGCGCGGATGGCAGCCAACAGCCCTTCCCCGCGAAACAGGCCCAGATGACGCAGCGGCTTGGAGAAAAGGCCGCACGGGGCCCGGAGCGCGCTTATATAGGCCGCGCCGA